CCTATTTTGGGAGCCTCTGCTCTGTGGATCCCATTGTCTGTGTCTGGTCTCAGAAATTCCTACTGAGTAAGTCTGTGTTTGGTAGGTACCTGCTGTAGAGTTTCCAGGCTTGGGTGTCAGGGCTCTTGTCTTCATATTTGGAGATGCCATGATTGTGCTTTGCCTACTTCTGGACATCAACCAACCCTTCCACCAAGATGACCCCAGAATACCCCACTCCCAAGCCCTTTGGGGCAGAATCAGGAGGACTGGCCAAAGCATGAGAGCCCTAGAGGAAATGCTAACCAACACGCACGAGGGGAAGGAGCCGCAGCCTCCACTCACCCACAGCCCAAGTCTAGGCCAGATTCCACTGCAGAGAGCCTTCCTGAAGTGCTCCTCCTAGAGGATCTATGCAGTACTCCCCAAGACCTCAGGGCTGGACAATGACACTCTGCTCAGTAGCAGCAGATGACAAGAAGCAGAGATCTGTTGGAGCCAAGCAGGCCTGGAGCTACCCCAAGTCTTGGTATGCAGTGGTCCTGGAGGCTAACTACAAAGGGACTAGTCTGAATGACAGCCCTGAACTCTTGTTATTGTCTGCCTCTGTTCAGTGGCTGACAGGACTGACTTGCCTCCTGTGCTAGTAGGACAGACCTCAAGGATGAAGACCCCTCAAACAGATTTGAGGTAGCACCTGCTCTTGTCTTTCCTGTCACAGTCTCCTGACCCTCCCACATTTTCTTTCCCTCTGTCTTTGTCTGTCATGCAGTTTGTCCCAGTGTGTTCTTCCAGTGAAAACTTACATCTCCAAGGGTGGGTCAAGGTCATGCAGCTAGCCACACATGGCAAGCCTCTGTGTCCCCAAACATGCTGACTGGACCGCCATCCAAGGGTATGTAAGACAGCATTTTCTATGTGCTCCTGCACACACACACACACACACACACACACACACCCCAGGTCATCCTCTCTTCTGTGTCTATCTTCACTGCACCCAGCAGGCCCTCCCTCCCCACAGTGCACTCCTCAGGCAGCAGCCTGTCCCTGCCCAGCATACCATGTGTATGTACACTCTTGTGTTCTCTGCCTTGTGGGCCAGGGGTGGGATCGTAAATCCTGCAGTTGATGACACATTTATCCCTCCAGCGGCTGGTGGTGTGAATTTATGGCTGTACCTCCAGGCTGGGACACCTCTAGGGCAAACACACCTCCAGGCCATACCAGTACGCTTTCATGGTGTTATAAAGATGGGCCAGAAGAGGTTCTGGAACCCACTCAAGATCAGATCTAGCTCAGAAACAGAAATTTGGGTGTGTTTAGAGCTAGCCAGTGGGAGGCTAGATCTGTCTGGGTATTGCTAAAGTCTGAAGCTAGCCAGCAGCTAGGAGCTTTATCAGCTGGGAAAGGCCTATCCACCCTTCCCTTCTCTCCTCAGTCTTCCCACCCTGGAGATGGGAAGCAGCTTCAGAGCCCCAGGCACAGCAGATGTGGTTGGCTGTACTTCCTGGGCATGCTGTAGGAACCTAACTTGGGTGAGGCCTGGGGAAGGGGAGGGCGCTGAAGGCAGCTGAGACTGCCCAAAGAGGGACTGGTGTAGTCAGCAAGGAGGGCTGTCTGCATGGCTGCCCGTCTTGTAAATGTAGGTAGACTGAGGCATAGGAGCAGCAGGTTCAAGGCCATGCAGGCCTGGGGTAGGGGTCCAAGAGACCAGGATTCCTGGTCTTCAGAATGTACTGTGGGGCTCCTGAGTTTGGACACCCCTTTGTCTTGCCAGATCTGGGGGTAGGATGGCTGGTGGATCTAAGGAATGGACAGAGAGATGATGGAGCTAGCATGTCCTGAGGGACCACAGCTGGGGGCAGGAGCCTGGCTGACTCCCCTCTGCATGTCTGTCCAACTGTGTGAGTAGGGTTGGGTCTCGGGGGATCCTTTGTCAGCTCTCTGGTTCCCCATCTCTGGTCCTAGCTTAACCCTCCCACCCCCCTGCACTGCCTGCTGTCAGGATGAGCGATGGCCAGGGCCCCTCCCCAGGCCCTCGGCCCCAGGCCTGGTTCCCGCTCATTAGCCGCTGACACTGTTTGCTTTCCTGGGGACGCCCACCCCGTCACAGGCCATTTCTCCTGGTACCCCCTGCCCCAGGGGCCTGCCCAGGGGTTCAGGGTGCTAGGCTGCACAGGATACCAGCAGAGGCAGGAATGGCCTTAGGCTTCTGAGGTGATGACCAGATGGAAAGCCAGCCTTACCTATGAGCCTGGGAGGGGGTGCCCCTAGAGGCCCACAGCCCTGCCCATGCCACACAGCCGGGTCCAGTGGAGACTAGACCAGCTGAGGCAGCTTAGGGTCCTCTTGGCTTGGTGGGACACACAGCCTATCTGTAGGAGGGCTACAGTCCAGGGGAGGCCCTAGCGACAGGTGATAGTCTCCATCTCCAGCTACTACCACCTCTAACTCTGTCTTTGTCTCTAGGTCTCTCACCCAACCCTGATCCATGAGATGATCGTTGGACCACCAGCCTTCTGAAAAGGTACCCCAACTCCACCTAGGGCTTCTCTGTCCCTCGCTCTGAGCAACAGAGCACAGCTTGGGGATGCAGGTCTCAGGACTGGGCACTCCTCCCTTGGGCTCCAGGCCCAGAGTGGCCACAGCTGGGCGGCATCAGGGCCCACAGGCCAGTGGCAGCCGGTCCTTCACTAAAAAATGTGTTTGTGATTTTGGCGGCGGGGGCAGATAACGGTGACGAATGGCTCGCCTGCCCCACGGGGCCCCTGGCCCATCTGGTTTGACTTTGGTCTGTCGGCGAGTACCCTTGGGCCTCCACTCATCCCCTCAAGCAGTACCCGCAGAGCAAGGCTAAGGACTAGTGTGGGCATACTCAAAGAGCCTCAGTATCCTCCTATCGTTCTATCTGTCCCAGCCCTGTCTGTCTCCTCATTATGGGTCTCCCTCAAATGTGCCCACCCATTGCCTCTGCTGACACTGGGCTCTGATTCAGGTTGACAGGACGGTAGGTGGCACGGGCATAGCAGAAGCCAAGACCCTATCTGCTGCAGGAAGCACTCGCCCAGGCCAGGATTGCTGGGTAAGACAGAGGATAAGATGGACCTGCACAGAGGGAGGCAAGCAGCAAGACTAGACCTGGCCCCATGCAGCACTCATGTAGTCATTGTCAGCAGGAATTTCTGACAGGGCCCCAAACCCTCCTTTAGCTTCCATGGCCTCCAGATCATTTATTTCCAGCTGCAGGGAAAACTTGCTAACCAGGCCTGTGCTCAGCCATGGTCAGTGAGGTTGAGGGTGAGGCATGCTCTCCTCATACACAACGTCTTTCACCTGCTCTTTGGAGTCTCCAGAGTGGCTAGACAGGTCAGGATAAACCATCTCTGGACATAAGGTGTCACCATGCCACCAGACCTTGAATCCTGCCCACAATGTGGCAACAAATTCCTCCCAGGCTGGCCACTTCACCCCAAGAAGTGGGAAGGCAGCCCCTGTGGGAATGGCCAGGGGTCCTCCAGGGTTGAATAAGGGTACGTTCAGTCCTCAGAAGGCCCTCTTGAGTCCAGCCTGCCCAGGTCACAGAGGGTAGCTGGGCCAGCCTTTGTCAGGAAGAGGGACAGTTGGGTGGTCGGAAGGCCCCAGGACCATGGTGGGGGTAAAGACAGGCCCATGGGAGCACTAGGGCACCAGTGGGTTGTCTCAACTGCTCCTGCTCTGGCTGGGGACAGCTGGAGGGAAAAGGAGGGAGAGGCAGTGTCCTGTCGAGACCCCCGTCCCCCTCAGCAGGTTGATACCACTGCTTTTGTGTCACATTGTTGAGAATTAACTTTGTTGAAATAAAAATTGGTCTTGGTATTAACTGGGCCTCCAGGATTTTCTCCGGGATCCAGGAGGCTGCACAGAGTCAGACACCCATTCCCAGAACCATCAGCAGCTCAGGTTGCAGGGGTGCCAACAGCCTCCTAATCCTCTGCAAGGCTCTGACCCTCTTCTCACCCACCCCAAGACACTGATCCTGGTTCCTTGGGACTGAGAAAGTTGCTTCAGTCTCTGCTTCTCCAGGCCCTAGCCTGGAAGGCCCAGTGTGGCTATACTATAGTACAGGTCTTGGGGGCCATTTCTGGCCCCTCCCTATGCTCACCCCTTCCACATGTCTTGAGTCATGAGGTAGCCATGGTTGACAAGCACAGGATACCTCACCCCTCTGTCTCTTCAGATTTGGCCACAGCTTCATTTTTATAACTTCTCTGGGCCTCAGTTTCCCTGCTTATGAAACAGGAGGCTTGTCCCAGCTGGGGAAATGGTGAGAAACAGAGTAGACCCTAGACAGCCATTAGACATGTCCAGTCAATGTTGGAGAGCTGTCAGCTGTGAGAGAACCTGTGGGCCCGAGAGAGGCAGGCAGCCCAGCATGCCTCTGTAGCTGAAGTCTTCTGAGGGATGGGGCAGCAGGAGCGTGCAGGCCCTTGGTGTCTCGGCACAGTCTTCTGGCTAGCTAGAAGTTAAGATCCCCGGTTGCCAGACAGTGAGGCTAGGACAGGATCAAGATACCTAAAGCTCCTGGGGAAACTTGTCAGTGCTACTGAGGGGACAGCAGCTATCAAAGTCAGGTCAGCTGTCCTTCAGAAGCCAGCGTCCACACCATCCTTGGGTCCTGACTACTGGAGGATGCAGAGTCCATTTTCACACCTTAAACTGGTGTTTATATATCACTAACTCTGATATACATACTCTACAGATAGTTGTAGTTGTTTGTGGAATAATGAAAACAAACAAAACCTTGTGTTTAGCTAGGTTTTTTTTTTTTCCCCTAGCTCCTTTGTGAGGGCTGGGGCTCAAACCTGGGGTCTTTGTTTGTTCTCTAGCACTAAATATACCTTCAGCATTAGTTTTGTTTTGTTTCTCTATGCAGGGTCTTAGTACATGTCCAGGCTGGCCTGGAATGTGTGATCATACTGCCTCAGCCTCCGGCATGCTGGGATTATAAGTGTGTAACATCATACCTTACGTTTCCCACCCCCCAGGGGAGAGCGTGAACGCAGTCCCCCACTACCACAAATTATGCAGTTGAGTTTCCCACATTTGGGGAAATCGCAGGGGTCAGCACATCTGGAGTGCAATGGAGAAGCCTCATCCTGGGAAAACCCCCTTTGTGATCATAGTAAGTTCCTTGCCAGGTAAGTATCATACCTTACTTTTGAGATATCTTCATTTCGTAGTTGGTGAGACACACCAGTTGGAACTAGGACTGATGCTTTTAATGCACAAATCTATAGGCAGCTGCTTCCAGAATGAGCTGCTGACAGTCCTGTACACCTTGACTGATATATTCTCTCTCCCTCTCATTCTCTCCCCCACAACCCCCCCCCGGGAAGTTGCTGAGTCCCCTAGGGGATTTCTACTCTTTAGAGCCTCCACCCACCATTGAACACAAGCCTGAGAACCTAGGGGTAAAGCTCTGCCAGCCTAAGGACAGCTGGCCCTGCATCCTGGTAGCCAAGGGCAGGCAACACCTCCAACTGGTGGTCCTCTAGAAGCCTTGTGGGACCACATCTCAAGCAGTGTACTTGGGGGTGGGCACAGCCTGGGAATGGGCTGGGTTGGGGGCCTGGGAATGAAAGTGGTGGTGGTGGGGGGACACAGGAGTGGACCCAGCTGTTGCTGCCTGGCTCCAATTGCCGCTCTGCATCGACATTAAGTCCCTAGGGCCAAGGCTGGTGGTCTGTCTGAGAGGGAGTGGGGATGTGTGGGGGCTGTGCCTTCCTTCTGGCAATGGTCCCTGGGGCATCAGGGCAGGAGGAAGCTACTTTCATACTGAGAGGCAGAACCAGATATTGGGGGGGGACTCTCCTGCCTTCAGACCATACAGCAGAGCTCCTTGCTCTTAGCACCTGAGTTGCAAGAGCTCCTACTCACATTCTCAACTTGCACCTGTGCCGAATTCCTACATGGACTTGTATTTCAGGAGGGTTATAACCCGCTCTCTGTACATCATCTGTTCCCAGAGCCTCCCTTCTATACTAGGAGCCAGGTACCAAGTAGTACCCTCCAGAGCCATCTGAAAACTCCTACACAACCTTTGAGACCCTGTGTAATTGTTTCTGTTGTTTGAAAGTCACTCAGAATACTGAGCCCTATGTTAATCTGTTGTCACCTCTTCATCAGGCCTCTTGTCTGAGAGAAGGCTGCACATAGTCTTAGGGTACACAGTGCTCATCTAAATCAGCTTTTGCTGAAGATATTCTTGGGTCCTATAGAGAATCAGGTTTGAATTATGAAGGATATTGAGGCTGCCAGGGCCAGACCTCCACCAGGCCAAACATCATGGAGAGGATGCAGGGACATCAAGGAAGCTAGGATGAACTGGCAAACACCGGCTCTCAGAATGGCTTACCCACATTTGCCTGGCTTCAGTGGAGGGCAATGGGGCGGGGCCAGAAGGGGAATCTTACTCCCAAATCCCTCCTGCCTGCTGCCAGCCCCCAGGGAAGCCCTGCCATGCCGGAACCTGATATTTTAAGACTTAAAGCAAATGTTTCTGGGGCCCTGAGCTGCTCCAAGGCATCCATTCAGCCTCATGGGGGCAGGGCCAGCACAGAAAAGCAGACCCCTGTGGCCCCTCTGTTCCCTGGGTGGCAGGCAGTCTGTGACTGCAGGGGACATGGAGTGCAGGAATTCCCTGAACACAGAAGAGGAGGACCCTATGTCCCTCTCCCAGGTCTCCAAGCCTAGGTAACACCATCAGAAGTTTTGAACTCACACTGGAGCTGGCCCAGAACCAGGTGTACATACAATTGGCCCGCCTAGCCACCATCAGTGGGAACTTCCATGTCCAGGGTCTTGTTTAAAGTTGCTGACAAAAGCTATCTGAAGCTCAGAACTGAAGAAATGTGAAGCCTCCCATCCAGTAAGGACAGAGTTCTGAGATCCACTGATGATGTCTATCTGGGTTACAGGCATAAAAGCAGTGATCCTGCATAGTAACAGGAAAAACAAAGTGGAGAGAGTTCCCCGTGGCCCGGGAGAGAGGGGCATGAAGCTTTGCTGTGGCTCCAGGCCTCAGTCCTGGGGCTCCCTGGGTCCACCTTCCTTCCAGGCAGCCTTGAAGGGCAGAGAGCCAAATACGGTGGGAGGCCAATGCACGGTGAGGCGGTGCAGTCAAAGATGAGGGTCTAATCTTTTGTTTGTAGGCTAGGCTGGCCTGGAACTCAGAGCTTTGCCCGCCTCTGCCTCTGAAACACTGGCATCAAAGGCATGCACCACCAAGCCCAGAGAGGGTCTACTCTTGAAGTACATTTCAGGACTGGACCAGCACAAGGCCATCTGGGAATGTGGGGACATGCCAAGAGAGGTTGGCTACTCAAGGGGTTCTTTTAGGGCAAACTATACTAGCAGACTCAGCTATCCTAGACCTTGGCCCTTGGGGTGTATGGGCCTGAGTTTCTCACAGGTACTTGATTGGCACAGCTGACTCACACTCTTACTCCTAAGTCACAAGCCTGTCACAACCCTTCTTGGGCTGTTTTCACCATTTTACAGATGGGAAAACTGAGGCCCAGAAAAAGAGGACAGCTTTTCCAGAGCCCTAAGCCAACCTAGCTGTGTGCTGCCCCATGGCCTACAGACAGGACAGCTCTGGATGCCTGGGGTAGAGTAGATAGACCCCAGGGAGTCCTGTCTTCACACCTGCCTGTTGGGTGCCTGGCCAGTCTGAACTCAGCTTCCACACAAGACCCTCCTGAGGATCATACTAGCCCAGGCCTATCACTTGCTGGCTCTGCTGCTTTCTTACAATTTGCAGGTCATACCTGCCAGGCCTGACCATCGCTACACAGTCCTGTGCCAAGGAGACCCCTCATCTCTGTGCCCCCAAGGCAGCTCTCTACCTTGGGCAGGACATGTCTGCCACCATTGCCAGACCCCAGCTCCTGCTGTGAGGTATGTGGTGCTCCTGGGCCTCAGTTCCCCCAGTTCTGAAGTTGATGTTTAAACACTGGGTAGATATTGAGGTCTGGCTGTTCTGAGTTGTCTAAAGGAAGGTCCCTGGCAAGAAGATGGTATACATTGGCCTATGCTGCCCTGTCCTCTATCCTGGGGACACATGCTATTCACAGACCTTGGTCCAGCCAATTGCACAAGCTCTTGAATTCTTCACAGGCCAGAGTTTCATGGTGTCTTTGGGCATACCCTGATATCTGGAGCCAGGAATGTGCCCTCTGGGGATTATGCCTACAGAGCCCCCAGACTGGAAGCCAGGTGTCCCACAGCCAGAGTGCCTCTAGTGGCCATAGCTGTCCCTTGCCACCTCCTTCCCCCACATTTTCCCTCTGCTAGAACTTAGCAAAGGGCAGGACATCACTGAAGGGAGAGAGGGTGCTTAGAAAGATATAGCTGGGGTGGGAAGGGGACGCAGAAAGTAGGACTTGGGAGGCCAGGAAGAAGAAGTGGGCAGGCCCCTCTTGGTCCTCCTCAGAGGAACACAAGGGTCAAGAGTTGGACAAGGACAAAGCAAAGGAACCTGAATTAAACTCCTAAGACCAGTGGGTCAGATGGGTCACAGACCTGAGGCCCTCACAAGGACTTTACTTTCAGGGCATCACATGGTAGATGGCTCAGAGGGTAGGTGAGGGTGGCAGGCAGTGGTGGCACCCAACCCCACCACCTCCCTCATCCACACCCTGTTAGAGCCCCTTCCCTTGTGTCTAGGCCCCTGGTCTCACTTGCACACCCAGACTCCAAACTGGAAAGACAGGCCGAAAAATAAACAAGCTCATACCACAGCCCCTACCTAGGCCTGTATGGGCAGGGCCAGGAGCTGGGGATCCCCCCCCTCCCCGCTTAGGGTCCCAATAGCCTAGCAGAAGGGAGAGCCTCAACACAGTGAGCCCCACCTCTCGGCCCTTCTCCAGCCATGCCAAGCCTCTGCTCAGTGTTCTTCAGGATAGCAAACTTACCTAGAACCCAGGAAAACAAGGACAGCTAGGCTAGTGTCCCAGCTATTCATCTCTTTGGAGGAAGCTGCCTATCACATTCTGTCCAAGATATGTCAGAAGGTCACTGCAGCTGGACAAATAGGACCGACTCCTCAAGATTGTTTTCAGACCACAGTCTCTGGACACAAGGCTCAATTCTGGCATTATAGAGACTGGAGGAACACTCCCTTCCTTATTCAATCAACAAACCCCTCAGAGCAGCCTGCTCTTTACCATCCCCATTTGCTCCCTAAGAGTCACCTGAGAACTCTAGATCCTGGCTATGCCTCAGGCTGCCTGTCATTCCTGCTCCAGGGTCTTTGCATACAGAAATCAAGAAGACTCTGTTTCTTCCAGATCTGGACAGTGATTTTCAGTGTGTTTGAAAATCCCAGATACAGGAAAGAGGAGAAAAGGCATGTGCTGAGGAAACTTAGAGCTGGAGAGAGCCATGGATGGATGGTGCTGGGCTTGGAGACAGGCCCTGACAGGACCAGGAGTCCAGGATGTTGTCTAAGAGTGGACAGGGACAGGCCAAACTGCACCTCCTTAGAGCTCTAATCCTAGGAACAGTGACACAGGACTCAGAGGACATTCGTTACCTGTCACGTTGTGAACCGGAGGCTGTAGCTCCAGTCCAGTGACATTAGCCAAGCAGTGGAGGGGACCAAGGGGTTCAGGGTGGCCAGGAGAAGTAGAGTCCGTGGGTGGGGTCCTGTCATGGAAGAGGGCTAAGAAAGAACACAGGTCAAGATGAGGCTTGAGGATAGAGGGGCCAGAGGAAAGCTCTGGGGTAAAGGACAGAGGAACACTGGTTAGGATCAGAGACAAGACTTCAGATCTGCTCAGTGTCAGCACTTGATTGGTTCGCCAGGCCTGTCCCCCATGAGACCAGAATGTGGCCAGCCACAGTGCCATGCCACACTGCTGTGCTTGGTGTCCATCCTTCCTGGGAGCCTGTCAGCAACCTAGGCATGGGCATGGGTAAGCAGGCAAGTCGGGCACCCAGCTGCCCTGTGAGGACACAAAGCTCCACCCTCAGTCTGTGCCACTGGACACTCACATGACCTGTGCCTGGCTGCCTGCCTGCCCACCCATCCTGCTGCCAATCACCAGTAACTACCCTCCTACTACAGCTGCTCATGACTGACAGAGGTCTCTATTCCCAGCCAGCCGCCTGCTCGGGTTATATTTAGGCCACAGGGGTGGTGCT